TTGGTACTTTCGATTCGCAAACTCAAATCATACCCCATAAATTGCCCCAGTTTGGACTAACACCCTTATCTTGATTTTCACTTGTCATGAGCTTGTTTTCATGCGCAACTCTTTAAAAAAAATACTGAAAACAATGATATTTTGCAAATTTGTTTTGTGAGCTTGTTTTCATGTGCAACTCTTCATTGTCCTATTTCAATAGTTTTCTTTCATGACATTCAAATACTATGATTTTGTTGGATTCTTTGTGATGTGAGAAGTGAAAGCCTAATATTTAGGCGATAATTTTCCCGAGAGGAAATTGAATTGTCCCTTTGGCGGTCATTGATAGTGCATTTTGTTTGACCTGAATTTTACTTGAGATTTTTATTTTGAAATCTCAGCGGGTCCTTTTTTGCATATTTTTTTCCGCACTTTGAGCGATAAACATTTTTATTGGACTTGATTTGGATTTTCAATCCTCGGGTTAGATACGACAAATGGTGTAGGTAGAGTGTGTTTATTTCTTAGTAATTGAATGTTAGGGAAAACAGTTGAATAACTACCTTGTCCCAGGTTATTGATATTTTTGGGTATTTAGAAGAAATATTATTTTCATAAAGTCTAAGGCTCAAATTGGGTGACTATGGATATCTTCTTTGTGTTTGGTATTTTCAAGGATGTCCTGTGTCATCAGAAAAAACTTGCTTAAAAAGTTGCACTATTCTGGGTCTTACATTTGCATCATCCTCCATTTCATATAAACTATTGAATCAAATATCTCATATTAATGTATGAATTTGTTTGTTTTGAATTTGTTTGTCTTTGGTGAATGAGGGTTGTGGAATGTAATATGTGATGTAAAATTTGCATGATCAATGCAGTTAGTATGTAATCTTTAAAAAGATGTGCATGATAAAATAAACATTTATTCATGATAAGATAAACATGGGTGCCCCATTATTTATGACTCTAAAGGCTTGGGGAGAGTAATAGAGTTGAATTACATCGTTTGGCTAACACCAGGATGATTACTCTGGGTAATTTAAGCATTTATCAAACCAAGACATTTCCTTGGAAGCGGATCAACCTTGAGTTAATCAGATATTGCACTTCGCTCTTCAACTGATCACAATCCTCTGTGAAATGACCAATTGCCCCAATATGATATTCGCAGCTAGCATCCGGGTTAAATCCTTGTGGATATGGGGGGTCTACCTTCTTTGAGGAGATTGAAGTCAACAATGATCTTTGGAAAATTTGCGGCAACAATTCAGCATATGACATTGGGATTGGGTCATACAAACTCTTCCTTTTTCGCTTTCGGGACCGCCTTTCGATACCTTTTGTAAAGGTATAACATGATGTTTGTGGAAGATAAGGCGTTTGAGGTTGACTGAGGATTTCTGTGAATGAAGTTTCCTCTTCCATATCTTCACTTGCAATATCACTTTGAATAACCTTGTTGGTGAAGCTTTTCTTGATCTTGTCTCTCTCGAAGTGATTCTCAATTCTCTCCCTTATTCTTATTATCTGGCAGAAATTTGAATGGACATTTCCAATCATCCGATCAAAGAAGGGTGGTTGCAGGGTATTTATAAACATTGAGACACTTTCTCATCAAACAATTTGGGCTTCACCTGAGCAGCCAACCCTGCCCATCTTTGAGCATACTCCCTGAAGGTCTCGTTACTTCTCTTAGACAACTGCTTGAGTAGCATTATATCAGGATATTGATCAATGTTGTAGTTGTATTGTTTAAGGAAAGTGTTACATAAATCCTTGAAACATTTGATATGAGAACGTTCGAGATGCGTGTACCAAGTGATAGCAGCTCCCGTAAGGCTCCCTTGGAAGGCATGAATTAGCAAATTGTCATCCTCAATATAGGGAGTCATTTTTCTTGCATACATGGTGAGGTGGTCTTTAGGACAAGAGGTTCCTTGGTATTTTTCAAATTCAGGCATCTTGAACTTCGGTGGAAATGTCACACTCGGGACCAAGCACAAGCTCGTGACGTCCTTCAGACTAGAGGAACTTGCTTCCTCGATAGTTTTAACTCTTGCTTCGATCGCCTTAATTTTCTCTCAATCTTGAGGATTTGTAACATTGTTGGGAGTAGAGGAGTGATTGGGATTATCATGGACAACTGGGGTCTCCATGTGACAAGCAATTTGCAAATTTGTCTTTAAAGATGGTGTATCAATACAAATAGTTGGCTTATCTTGTTAAAGCTCAAGAGAAAGATCTTTTCTTCCTCCTTAGACTGTTTCAGCCGAGTCCAATAACATCACCTTTAACATCAATTTTCCACTCGTGAGTGTCCTTGATATGAAGATGAAATGCATACAAAATTGATTTTTCACTTATATATGAGGTGCATGAATGATTGAGATATATGAATGACATGAGGATATAATGTTTGGGTTCATAGAATATGCACCCATGTTATTATTTTTCTGTTTATGATAATGTATGAAATGCATGAAATGAATGTTTGCATGACTCCTTTTTTTATGCATGCATGCATGCACAAGAGATGAAACTCATGATGATATATATATTTTTCATGTATGTATGCATGAATGTTTGATTGTTGGTTTTTCACTATTAAATGTATGTATGAATGTGTGAATGATATTTTTTATTTTTGATTATATATGAATTTTCATGAAAGTCAAGATAATGATTTTTTTGAATGTTTGAAAGATGTACGAATGTATGAATGAATGGCATGCATGAACATGATGCAATAATGCATGAACATGATTCTTTTGTACGCCCGTAGGGCGTGATAGACACTATTTAGGGGAATATAGCCTTAATTTACAATATAGTAAAATGTCATAGTAGATTTGACACTTATTATATTGTTAAGGCCAATTTGGAGTTAAACCGTAAAACCCCGAGTTTATTGAGATATCACAAAATTGATCCCTAGGGCGCTTAGCCCATGGTAGGGAATTAAAATCACCCCCAGGGCGCCTAGCCCACAATAGGGAATAGAAAGTGTCCCTAGGACGCTTAGCCCATGGTAAGGAATGTAAATTGTTTAGCCGTCCTCGTGGAACAAGGACATCAAAGTGCAATGACATCCTTACAAAACTCATGCATGAATATTTTTATGTGGGACATAAGTCCCAAATTATGAATGATGATGGATAAAATTTAGATTATGCTTCCCGTTTCCTAAACAAGATACACTTACAAGGTTTTGGATAATCTAAAGGTCACAACCCTATGGTGAGGTATTAGATGTCAATTAAAGTGAACTCGAGAAAAAAAAGTTTCAGACTTCTAGGTTACCATATTGCATCCAATCTCACAAGAAAAGAAACCCAAAATATTGGAGGTTATAAACAGGAGAAGTCTAGCCCCTCAAGCGTATAACTCACATTATTTGGTAACAATATGGGTTGTTCATCATGCTAATGCCAATGAGATAGAATCTAACACCAGGCAGAGCGGATGTCCCCCTTATTGCAAACTTACTCTCTAACACCCGGGTCTAGGGCATATGTGTGTGCAAAACTCAAGTGTACAATGTTCGTGTGTGGGGAAGCGTGCAAACCTTTCGTACAAAGAATTAACTCCCGTCCCAAAGCTGCAAAGAAAGTTAAATACAAGCTCATAGATAATAAATTAAATTGAAAGTAAAACATATAACAACATATTATTCTAAAAAACAAGACCAGCAAAAAAATGGGTATTCTAGTCCATGTAATTAGCGGCTCTAGGCCTGACCTTCTTATGGGTTATCCCCAACAGAGTCACCAGCTGTTGCGACCCAATTTTCGGTTGGAAGACCGACCCTGCGACTTTAGGGAGAGGCGAACTCGATTTCTACCTCTTCCAATTGATTTGGAGTCGCCACTACGTTTTTTGCGGTTAAAACGTAGAAAACCCTAAATTTTGTCCGATTAGGACAATTTGGTCTTTAAAAAGAGATTCTGAGCTTGGGAGTCGATTACGGATCAGGGAAGGTATTAGCACCCCGTCCGCCCGTATTAAAACGGTACCCTCGCTAACAACATGGACTTTTATACCCTTTAAATTATTTATTAAAATTCAGTAAATAAAAACAAAATGTTTTATTTTTTATTGTTGCGTCTGACAAGAGTTCGTCTTGCTGCTACATATCCATAGGTGCAATAGGGAAATCAATGCTATGTAGTTCTGGTTCGAAAATTAATTGATGTTGGTTTAGTTAGTTTGAAATATCGATAGAATTTTATTCACTTGGAGAAAAGATGAAGCAACAAAACTAATGTCCGCACCGCATTAAATCTTAAAAAAATTTTCGAAATAATTAAAAATATTGTTGCAATTTGTTCACCTTTAAGATAGATGAAACAACAATAACTAATGTCCGTGCCGCATCAAATCTTTAAGAAATTTTGAAAACAATTAAAAATATCGTTGAAATTTATTCACCTTTAAGATAGATGAAGTAGCAAGAACTAATGTCCGCGCCGCATCAAATCTTAAAGAGATTTTGAAAACAATTAAAAATATCGTTGAAATTTATTCACTTTTAAGATAGATGAAGTAGCAAGAACTGATGTTCGTGCTGCATCAAATCTTAAAGAATATTTTGAAATAATTAAAATATATCATTTGAAATTTATTTATCTTTAAGATAGATGAAATAACAAGAACTAATGCTCGCGCCGCATCAAATCTTACAGAATATTTTGAAATAATTGAAGTATATCGTTTGAAATTTATTTATCTTTAAGATAAATGAAGTAGCAAGAACTAATGTCCGCGCCGCATCAAATCTTAAAGAATATTTTGAAATAATTAAAATATATCATTTGGAATTTATTTATCTTTAAGGTAATGAAGTAGCAATAACTAATATTCGCGCCGCATCAAATCTTAAAGAATATTTTAAAATATATCATTAAGTCTTAAACCATTTCTCTTGAGAAAAGAAGACAAATTAATATTATCCTTTATAAAATAAATAACATAAATAAAATAACCTTTATGGGCCAGGGGCCCGAAACCAAAAAGGATTGAGAATGGGGGGAGGGGTTGGTTTTTTGGCTTTCATTTTTCAATATGCAGATTGGGGAAATTAGAGAGGAGAATGAGAAGAAATAGGAAAGTGAGAACATGAGAGAGAGATAGCCGTGATTCATCTTCTTCGGCTCCACCTTTCTCCGTTTCAACAATGGATTAACTCATAAATTTGATTCAATTTTTGTCATGGAACCACTAATACTCAAGAATCGAATCGCTCGCAGCTTGAAGCTTGGTAACCGCAAAAGCAAAGGGAACGAACAGATTCAGTAATCACTCTAACCCTTTTATGTTTATCCTTCATAACCTTTTTGTTTAAATTAGTTGTTGATATACGTATGCTTAACAGTTATTTCAGAAGATTAGTTACCCAACCCTATCACACAGAAGATTAGTTAGTTACACTGCTATTTAGTAGTTTGAGTATACGACTTACCTGAATGTGCCTTTCTGATTTGCTTTAGTGCCGCTCGAATTGTACTGTTTGCCTTTATGTATATATATGCCGCTACCAATCACCCTGTGTGCGACTGAATGTGTGTAGTGGACGGCTGTTGTGTAGGTTTTCTTACTATTCTCACTGGTTATGGGGATGGGTGGATGTATGTGATATTCGTACGATATTCGTGTGTATAACTCTCTGTTGATGTATGGAAATCTTCGATAAGTGTTTGGCTGCCAATTCTTCTAATCATGAACGTGTATATGAAGAAAAATGAAAAGTCCGAAAATTCTCTGCCTCTTTTGTATGAACGACCCCCCTTTTGGTTGTGTTTTGCTTACTATTTATAGGAGTTGTATGTCCTTGGGTTGCCACATAGAGTCAGGAACTGAGTCTTGCTTTCTGGTTACCTCCATGTTTTGAAACTGCCTAATGATTGTTAATGAATGTATAACCGAAAGGAGAGGTGGTAACAGTCACCACCCATCATTCACATCCCCTTGCCTTTCACGTGTGCTCTGAAACTCTTTGTGATTCCTGGCTGGTTCTCTTTTCCCTGCATTGATTCCTTTAAAGACTGTCAATTATTTCTGATATTTATGTTGGTTTGTAACTGTGTCATTATGTCATTATTTTCCTCATGATTGCATCCTAATCATGTCAATAGGTAATATGTAACTGATACCAGAGCACCTCAATAGGCCATAGCTTCTAATTACGGTTCTTTTCCTTTTTCTTAACTCTGTCCCAATTTGCAATCTCTGCCTGCATGTTTACTATATTGCTGAGTTGTTTTTGCATGCCCATTGCTTTTGACCATTCTGATTACTGTTCATAGATAAGACACTCAAGTTCTTTAAATGAAACGTGATTAATATCCCTTACTAATGTCGTGGTGCTGTTTTTGTGTGTATGCAGGGAATGTCTTCCTTTTTTGGCATTTTTGCTTTGAAAAGGGAGCACCACAACTAGCTGCGCTCTTGAAGAAGGAATGGACTGTAGTATAGTCTACCTCCTCTCCTCTTTAGACCAAGTATAAGGGAGCCATATCCACACCACTCAAGATTAACAGTTTTTCAAACAGAGCTTTTTAAAGCAGTTGGACTGGACATTTGTTTTAGGAATAGTATGAAAATAGGGAGTTTGTTTTGTTTATTTTTACTTTAATTCTTGTTGAATGATTCTTGGAACATATGTTAAGGAATCAATGATGGGCTGAAATGTGAACCTCTATACATAGCACTATCCAGTACACAGTAGTATTCACAATTTTAACAGGTTTTATGGAATTGAACTTCGATAAATATATTTTCATGCACTGATCCAATCCAAACATTAATACCATATTCACTTGGCTGTCAGTTCTTCATTTTTCAAAGTTCCAAAACATTTCCATGGTAGTAGAAGGAAGTATCATATCAACAATAAAAGTCATGAGAGTAACTATAATCCAATAATTCTTTTTTACTGCTTCCTAGCTTCATCTACCACTAAATGTTGGATTTGCATTTACCACTTGCAAAACTGAATTGCTAATAATAAGTAGGCCGGACAAAATAGAGTGTTCACAATAATGTAAAAAAAAAATTTCTACTTTTTTTAATTTTCATATTAATTACATTGTATTTTTTTTTAGTAAATTAAAACACATTGGGATAAGTGATCTCCATTTAAAGGGTATAAATGTATAAATGTTATATCATATTATATTTTTATTTTTTTTTGATAGAGCATATTTTTAATGCACCGAGAGGATTAGGCCTAACCGCCAGGTGGTGTCAAACGTGTCCAAGCAATATTCCTTTCTTTGCTTCCACCATGACACTTGTTACATCAAAGTCATACAAATCAACTTCTATAAACTTTATCCTTCCATGCATATTCAATACTGCACCAAGTTAGCTATAATTGTGTTATAACATAAACCCTATCAAATTGCATTATATAGCATAAAATCACTATCAATGGCAAATGAAGAATTCACGTTGGTTTCACCAGCAATAGACAATGAAGGAGGTGGAAAACTTCCAAGATACAGCACCCAAGAAGGCCTAGGCGCAAAGTGGAACATATCTCCACCACTGGAATGGCACAACGTGCCATCGAAAACTAAGAGCTTGGCCCTTGTGGTGCAGGACGTGGATGCTGTGGACCAAACCGGGCGAAAGGTGGCGTTCACACACTGGGTGGTAGTGAACATTCCGGTAAGTGTTACGCGGCTGCCGGAAGGATTTTCCGGTAAGGTAGAGGAAGAGGGTGGTGAGTATGTTGGGATTGAAGAAGGGATTAATGATTGGAAGGTGAATGTGTGGCGTGGTCCAAAGATTGATAACTATGGTGATAGGTTTGAGTTCAGACTCTATGCTATTAGTGAAGACATGCACTTTGACAACCAGGTACTTCATAGCTAGGAGCCTAGAATTTAACATGCATTTTGACAACGTTTGATACAACTCTTTAACTTATGCATTTTAAAAAATTATCAATATATATAAAAGATATTTTCTTTGTTTCATGATTTTTGTAAGTGTGTGACAACTTTTGATTGAGTTAGAACATCATTGAGACACAAAAAGGAATGAGAATCATCTGTCTCAAAATGGTGTCATCAACCTTGTCTCAGCCAATAACATTGTGTCACGTCTTTTAAAAATCTACATGCAATTTTCACTAAAAATATTTAGTCTGTGACTTTTCATTTTCATTCTCTGATTGGCTGAAATAGAGTTGTTAACACATCCCACAAAAAGTGGGACAAATGATCTCCGCTCTATCTTTACTAGAATTTTATAACTACTTTCTTGTGGATTTCCCATCCTTAATTACATTTTTAAGGAGAGATTAAAAACATTTCTTCTATTATCATCATTTTAGTCTCTTCACATATAATTTATATACTTCCAAACAAGAAAGAAATTTAACTTCATTTGCCTTCTTTCTCATTTCCTTCCTCTTCTACTTGTCCCTTGATCTTTCTCTATCCCTTTATATTTGAAAACCCCAAACATAACTTGACTAATTTGGTTGTTCATATCCAATATTTGTAATTTGTTTTGTAAGAGAGAAGTTGTCTCAATGTTGGTTATTGTACAAGGAGTCATGTTTAAAATAATTGTGAACACTTCAAATTGGCATCTAACTTTGGTATATGTTCCTTTTAGGGAAATGAAAGAAGAGTACCTATAAGAAGAGGGAAACACAAGTGTCCAATATAGAAAATAAAAGTGATAAGGTTTTGTGTTATTCTAAGAACACATTAACTTATTGGTTTGGTTATATATACCAAAACGTTTTGGAGAACTTTCTTTTACAAGAGAAAAGTTGTCCAAAACTTGGTTTTCAGTACAAGGAGTCCTATTATTATTTGCACAATAGTAACAATTTTATCATGATGCATAATCAATACCGTATACCTTTATGTTATATTTGAGAGTTATGAAGGAGAAGGATTAAGGAACAAGGAGGGGGACTGGGAAAGAATTGGGAGGAAGAGAAATCAAGTTAAACTTCTCCCAAAAAAATTAATTTAAAAAAAATTAATTTAGATGAGAGAAGACTAAACTAATGATAATATAAAAATGTTGTTTTACTATCTCTTTTTTACTTATAGAGTTATAGAGTTTTGGAATGGCTTCAAAAAAAAAAAACCTTTAAAACATTTTATTTTCTTTCCTCCAACTTTCAAACAATAAAACTTTTTCTGATGGGTTCTCAAGACAAATGGCTGGTGATTAGTTATTTTCCATATAAAGGAAATAAAATAACTTTTTTGTTTGAACATTGTACATTTAATTTTTGGCTGCAAAGAATGTGCAAATAAGCACACGTTTCTGTGCAAATGAGCACACGTTAGAAACTATCTTTAAATTTATCACTTCATTAATATTTTCAAAAACACATGACATTAATATATATCTATATTTTTATATACACATTTAATGAGAAAACCTTCTTATTACCGTGAGAAATAAACAACAATAAATTTTAATCAATTGACACTATTCAAATATTCCTATTTGAAAAAAACGAAAGAACAAACTTAGTTATATATATTTGATTCGAAAAATATTTTTATTCTTCGATAAGTTGTAAATAAAAATAAATATTTTTATTCAAATCTTGGCAGGTGACAAAGGAGAAGCTCTTGGACACAATAAAAGGGCATGTATTGGGAGAAGCAATATTGACTGCTACTTTCTAATATATTAAAGCAAGTATGCAACCTTCTTGGTATCTTTAACAAGGTTATGAATATTCAGGAAAAAAATATATTCAGCTAAAGCTTTAGGACTTAAATAAAGCTCAACACGTTTGGTCTTGTTTTGTTTATTATACATAAATCGTTATAGCGTTTGAAGAAATAAACCATGCTGGTTTTTGAATTTATAAATCGTGTTCTTCAAACCATACTGGAATTTGATAATATTCGTAAAGCAGCTAAGTGACCCAAACAAGGATCACTTGTTCCAAAAAATTTATGTCATCATGTTCCAAGTCAATCATATATTGCACCGAGTGATAAACTACGTGGCATTTTTCATATTAACTAGGTGATAGTTTTTTAGTATATCATGACACATTATGACATCATTTTTGGAATAGGTGATCTTCATTCAAGTGACCCTATACTATTTCGGATTTGAGCCAAACGAAAGCGGAAGTTATACAAAAGTTGTATCTACTAAATGCCAAAGCATGGGTGATAAAGTTTTGTAAGAGTATAGTAAAAGTCTTCCTACTTTTATGGTTTCTCCCTCATGATGTTGCTTAATATAATATACTATTGAGGGAGATAATATATTTCTCATTGAGGAGTAGATCTCTTTCATAGGATCAAACAAACCATTGTATGATATACAATTCTTACATTCTTTCACATATCCATAACAATACTTTCATTGTCTAATCATCACTACGCGAGAATAACAAAACAACAACACTTCAAATTATCGTTTAACAACGTTTTCATGTGCTGTCTATATGAGCACAATAGAATAAAAGTTTAGATTCTATCAACAATGCTCACTGAAGTGGGCGCTGTTAAATGTCTACTTTCTAAGATAACATCTCTCTTAGACATTCTATTAAATACATGACAAACATGTATGATTCCATCAAACGAGCGTTGTTAAATGTTTACTTTCTAAGACAATATTTATTTTAGACATTCTATCAAACACATGACAAACATGCACGATTCCATCAAATTTACAATATATTTGACGATACAAATATCATTTTGAAAACTCAATTCATAAATCATTGCATAAACTTTTCTCTCTTAGTTCAAATCCATTAACCCATAAGATTATATGCACTAATGAAATGGAAGAAGGTGGTGAAGATGTAGACGACTAATTCATAAATTTCTTGTCCCCCTTAAATGAAGAAATAAAAGGATTTCTTGTCAACAACAAAAAGATATAGTTCAGATTCAATATAATAAGAATCAAACTAAAATTTATAGAAAAAATAAAGATGACAAAATAATAATCAAATGCAAGAAATATATAAAGAAATTGCTAGTTTGGTAAATAGTTGCTCCAACTAGATTTAACATTATTATATTCCTATATTATAAAATAAGCAGTTAAAATAGAGGTAAATGCAAGTAGCAACAGTGAAGCAACGATCTACCTTATGTTTGAAGAGAGAAACCAAAAACTAGTAACTTGCTTGAAGAGAGAAATAAAGTGAATAAAAAACATTATTAGATTCCTACATGACATGCTTATTGCACTTAATATTGAAAGAATGAACATAAAAGTGAGTTCAATATAATATAACAATAGAACTCATTCACTTATCAATTCCATAGTTAAATAATTTTTTTTTAGTTATAACTTATAAATTGGTTAAACATTACTAACAATGTGAATAACTACTTTATAGGATGAGGTATTTACTTGGTAATCATCTTGGGATAACATGGGACAATTGTGTTTCAATGTCACCTAGATGAAGTCAACAAAAATGAGGTCACGTAAATCCAGGTTAGTGTGTCATATACATCACAGTTGTGATGCAACAAAACGGATGTAGGCTAAATGGTTAAATACAACCTAAATCAGTAATATCAAAACTCATTTAGTCTTAATATGCTTTGTCATATTCGAATATGACAATTTAGCGAAATTATATTTTGGGCTTTGAGGTAGGTCCAAATCTAACTCAGCCGACAATCTTGAGATTGCAAGAGAAGTCAACAAGCGAGATTGCAACATTTATCTTTCTGTCTGGTTTCGATGAAGACAAAGTCGATCTGGAAAAGCTTGAAGGCGTGACTCTACATCAAACAACGGCACCAAGACTCAGGCTTTAGGGA